TAATTGGGATTAAAATGCCTATTGTCACATTCGGTTTAACAAGGATGGTCTTGTTTGGTCTTCAAGTGCCCCACTTTTTGCTGCTCCCAGGGCCCAAATTGTCTGAATGACTATTTAAATGGAAAAAAATTATGCTGTTTTTTTTCTGATAGCATAATTGTGTTAAATAATCATGATTTTAATTTTTGCCATAATCGAGCAACCTTAATTAGCATGGTATAAACAATGTTGCTGTGCCTCTCATACCGATAGCAGTAATTAAAGTTACCAAGTCTGTCTGAATGTCTTGATATTTCTGGTGTTGCTCCCACTACAGTAAAGTTGATGAAATTGCATTTGAATATGTATTTGTTTAAAAAAAATAATAAAATGAAATAAAAAAAATGCCAACAGTGGTATGTCTTTACTTAATGCCCCAGTTCTTCTGACCTTATTGGACCCACGGTGAATGGATTTCAGCTACATGTTTATTTGGGGTTTATACCAACAGGTTTTTGTTTTGCAAAACAGCACTGCAGCATATGACATCACTTTAAACTGGTTTATACGTGCAAATGTAAATACTTAGTTTGCAGCAGTCACCTTTGTAATATTCAAAGGTGTCTGTACAGTTGTCAGCTCGGTTATGCTGTATGATGCAACATCATCTTGAAGCAGACAGTTTCATAATAGATTTTGTTTACTTGAATTTTACTTCCTTGAATTATGTCCTAATGTGTATACTTTTTTTTTCTCTCCTGTAACTAAAAATGCAGCAGAATCATGCCCGAAGAATGTATTCTCACAGTTGCATAGCAGAAGAGCTATGCACAGCTGCAGTGGCTTTGAGAGTTTAATGAATGTAAAGGACACGGTGTCATGTGCAGCTTTCATGTTTTTGAATTCTGACACAAATCCAGTATTTTCAAGTGAGGTTTTCTCGTTATGTGCTGTGAGATCTGAGCAAAGGGCCTATGGCAAAATGGCGTCGGAATGCCACTGGCAGAAATGGACAAATGGTGTCACACACCAGTACCGTGGCCTTAGCAGACGTAGCCTTCGACGTGTTCCAGTGCATCTGTATGACTTGGTCCATTGTGCCGCAGAGGAACGGTGAATAGTGTTCTCCAGCATGGGGGAACAATATGTGATTGTTCCCCTGCTGTGGCAAAGAAGCTGTAGGTTACTCTCTGTACCATCGCCAAAGCGCCTGAGGAGGAGATGCACTGCAAAATCTCGGCCTGCTAATCACCGATTCTTGGAAGTTTAGGGCTTTGCGGTGCTGTTTTTGAGTAGCTGTTACATGCTAGTGGGAGGGGCCACAATCCCCTCTTTTGGAGAAGAGGTTTTTGTTTCACAGTAGTTCCTTTTGTTTTTTTTCTCTGGGAAAATTTTGTTTGTCATCATTCAAATGTATTGAAAGCCTTCAGAGGGAAGGGGCAAGGGCTAATTTGGAGGTGTGGAGTTGGATTTCGGGAGGAACACGAGCAGAAGTGTGATTTGTTAGCATGTCATTTAAGTCCCTCAAGGAGTTTGGTGTTTCTGCTGAACGGCTGGGATCATTTTGCAAGAGATGGATGACTCGTGTTCAGAGGTTTGTGTGTAAAATAGTTATTTTAAATGTGCAAACATTCATATACTTTTTTTTTTGTGAGACTAGTACCACGGTGTTGTCGTTTCGTTTGTGTTTTTTTTTTAACCTTTGTTTGAAATATTACATATCTGTAGTGTGCGTTGGAAGTCTTAACCTGTTGCAAGTCATTTCTTTTCCCGTGAAGGGCTGTTACTTCACCCTCATTCATAATTTCCAGCGCCTCTACCCCTGTCAGGAACTGTTTGTGTGTTTGATTCTGTGTGAGAGTGAGACAAAGATGCTGTAGTCACAGGTACACTGGTGGGTATTGATTCTCTGTCCCCAAGGCTTTCCCCAGAGGAAGCTGGCAATAACTTGTAAATGATATATTGTTTCAGCTTGCACTTGAGTAAACGCGTGTTTAAACGGTCACAAATCATTTGACTTGTTGGTAGGAATTCTGAAAATGCAATACACACTTATTTTATAATACTAAAAACACAGTATAACCTATTTGT